AGGGCTGTTTCCATGGCTCTGTTTTCCAATCGAACTGGTAGCAACTTCCACCACCTTGTTTTATGCATAAAAAAGAACAAAAAATGACAAGTAACATTTCCCAAGTGAGGGAAATTATCTATTCAAACATCTGCATATGAGTGATTTCTTTTCTGTTTCAGTAACACACGCAGGATGTGTTTTCTGTGTACTGAATGCGAGTGTAGGGACACATGTACGATTGTGGGTGTGCCATTAATGGGCCGCACTTCAGAGAAAAAGGTAGAAATCCAGCCAGATGTTTTGCAGCTGGGTGGATCTGGTAGTGAAGATCTAGACAGCATCTGTCACAGGCCAACTTTTTTCAATCTGTCCTGAACATTAGGCAGAGAGCACTAAAAAAAGATCACTGGCCGCATGTGCTGCTCAGTTCACAATGTGCAAACCACCAGCTTTGCAGTTTGGCCCGGAGAAAAGTTCCAAATTAAACACCAAAAAACTGCAGAGCAGCCGAGAGGAAATTCGAAATATTCCTTTACATTCCCTCTAAACTCGCCTCCTTTAAGCGGAGTGTAGCGGCTATACCTTTTTAGAAATCCAAACAAGGGGCTAACAGGCTAACTGAAGTTATTAGGGCAGAGCGCCTGAGGCCGAACACCAGCGCTTTGAACTAGAGGTACAGGCGAGCTTAGTGAGGTCAAGATGTGTCACACAGCGTGCAGAACCAACATCACCACGTTCTGCACTTTAAACAGAAAGTAACACCTATTGGTTGCAGCTGTGATATTCACTCCCATTCACACGTGTAGCTTCAATCGATCACTGTAGCTATTAACTAGCTGCCGCACAAATATTTCTGCAAAACCAAGAAAAATGTGGCAGCAAAACTGCATTTTAGAGCCGCCTCGGACGCGTTCAGCTTCCCCTCTCGGTTTGGGAACTGTGGGAATGGCTATAAGCTGACCTTGATGGTCTCTAGATATTCCCTTCCTGGGTTCGTGAGCCTAGTTACCAGTTGGTCAACCTTGTGCCCCGTGAACTGACCCCGTCCTCCCCTCCGAGGTTTGAAAGGAAAAGAAACCCAACTCCCCGGGGAGCGCTGCTACTAACAAGAAAACTGCTGGCCTGGATCTCTCAGAAGTGCTGTGTTTTCCCACTGGACCACTTTCAGCTTAATAAACATCTTAACTAGCCAGAGGTCCCACAGGGGCTGCTGGGAAATCCTCTGGGCAGCCAGGACTCAGGAGCTGGCCCTTTATTGCATCCAGGTGGCTGTTAAAAAAAAAAAAAAGCCGGCCGGCCCTAAATGTCCAATAAAATGCAAGTGGCACCTTCAGGGGTGGACAGGGTCAGTGCACCTGTCTGTGGACGAAAGATCCCTTCGCCCCCCCCCTTTGTCCCGAACGGCTTGATGTCAAAGCCGACACTGCGTCGTGCCACAGCCGTGCCCACCGTGCCAAATGGAGCCGGCACAAAGGCCCCGAGGGGTCAGGGGGCAACTGGGCCAGAGCCAGAACATCCTTGTCGTACTAAGAGACGGTTAAAACGGTTAAGATCTATACATACAGATTTAATTAAATATATATAGAGATAGGTATATGTGACTGCAAAGATATATAAAAACACCAAAACTAAATGCAACAAATAGATATAAATGTCTAGAAAGAGAACCGCATGGCAAGACACAATGTGCTGCAAGGGAAGACAAAAGCATGTGACCAAAACAAAGATGCAAAGAAACACAACAAACGACAAAAGAGACGCAAAATATGCTCAAACACAGACATAACAACACGAAAGCTGCACAACGGCTAAAAGGCCAAAAACCACCACACCAACACAAAGAACGCCACTGTGGGAAGTTGTTGTGTGTCTCTTTTGGTCGGCGTGTCTTGCCCCCCCCATTTGTCTCATAATCCAACCGTGAGCCACGACACTCGTCATTCCACGTCCCCTTAAATAAGTCCTTCTTTTCCTTTTGTCCCGACTTCCCCAGCGGATGAACGAGAAGGTTTCTAATGCGCAGCTGACCGGTGAACTGGAGGTATGAAGTGGAAATGACGCTGATCACTTCCCATTTGTTTACAACCGCTTCACACGTGTATACGTGAACAGTGGCAGCAGCCCCCCCCCCCCCTCCCTCCTCCCTCCTCTCCGTCCAGCCTGGTCTCTGTCCAAAGGGAGATTTAATTGTCCTCCAGGTCGGTGGAGAGACCTGGCCGGCGTATTGGGGCTTTGATCTCACTTGAAAGGAGTTAATTGATTTCTGTGTTACGGATGAAAAAGGGGGGAAACAAAGGAGATGCTTGCTGGTCATTTCACAACATGTGGAGAAACGTCTGAGAGCGAAGGGGAGGGAGGGGATGAAGAGAGAGATCACCTCACACCCGACTCCATCCTTGCTCAATTACAATAACGTAACTCACATGGGCCGCTGGGGCAGAGGGGGAGAGGGAGACGGGGGGGGGGGGGGGGGTCCCTCACTCATCTTACTTCGAGCTGAGGTACATAAAGACAGATTTGACGTGAGCCACCCGGGGGGGCTTGTTAAGGACAGCGCCCAATCTCCCCCCCCCCCCCCCCCCCCCGCTTTAAGTCTCCGGGGGGTGGGGGACACTCCGACGTTTGACGACCACAACGCGGAGTGAGGAGACAGCGCCGCTGGAGGTAAGCGGTGAATGACGGAGGAAGTGTTTCCACTTCGCCACAACTTGTGTGTCTCTGATTCTTTACAATCATCATTCTTCCTACGAGGCCTTTTTCCCGCCTTGGGTCATGGAAAGTTCAGCCTTTCCCAGCATGCACTGCGCCGAAGGAATCACACACACACACACACACACAAGGAAGCACAATTCCGATGTTTTCTGCCATTTTTTCTTCTTCTTCTCGTTACGAAAACACGAACAACTTCCGTCGGCGTGATTTGCGACGTAACCTGTTCCCCATGCGTCCATGTCTGGTCTGGAGCTGCTTTGACAGCTTTCCTGCCTTCACTCTTTCACCTCTCTGCGTCTCTGGTCACCCCTGCTCGGGGGTGGGGGGGGAAACGGGCCTGTCAGAGGGAGAGTGCCAGGCTAAGCTTGTCTTAACACAGCGCCTCAACCCCCTTCATAAATACAGGCTTCCTTTTCCATTTTCCAAGCGGCCCATCCACCTCGGCTTACGCGCTCCCTGGGTGCCGCGTGTCATGCGCGGGGGTGTGAGTTTAAAAATGACCGACGGGACATCTGGCCGACGCGCACAGGGCGGGGCTTTGATGTGTTGCTCTGCAGTGAGCAACCCCCCCCCCCCCCCCCCACACAGCAGCGAGGAGCGCGAAGCGGGTCGGAGATAGCGAGCGAGTCCCAAAGATGCCTTGAAACAGATTTGCCATATGTGAATAATTAGAGACAAACAGGCCTTTGACGACTCGTGCGGCTTTCAAACTGCCGCACAGCTTACGGACGATAAAACAAAAAGGTTGTTCCCATTTTCATTTTAAAATGCGGTCTCTGAAAATCATTATTATTTTCCATTATCATAAAGTGGAGCGAAAGGAAAAGTGAAAGCATGTGAGGCGGCTTTTTTTTGGGGGGGGGGGGGGGGCAGGGCTCATGGCGGCGTTGTGGTTGTGAAAGCTCCTCGGCGACCATCTGGAGAGTTTCGGCTTCACGGCGTCTCAAAGGCAACAAACCCAGAGCCGCTGATCAGCGTCATCCGAACACCCGCAGAGTGACGTCACGCTCTACCTGCTGATGACAGCAACATTCCGAGGGCTGCTCACATTGAGCACAAGATACATATATATATATAAAAATAATGGTATGAATAAATAGGATTTGGAAATGGTCAACTTGTTTCTTCTGATGTAAAAACCTTCAAAATAGACCAACAATATTTACCTTTCTTGAGGGAATTATAGTTAAAAAGTAGCTATATTGCTCAATATTGTTTTAATTTTTCATCGTACAAATATATGCCATGAATTACTTCTAAACACTGTAAGATTAAACAACACAATCAAATTTTTTATTTATTAGACATTATTAGTTGTTGAGTTTTACTCACGTGTATCCCTAAGGAGTAATAGTGAAAAGGTGAGGCTTTGCTTGTGTGTGTGTGTGTGCATCAGGATACCCACGGCACACTGCATGCATGCACTCTGTGCACAGCAGGGAGGAGGGCTGTCTCAGCCCGTCATGAGTGTCACCTTCGTGAGGGAGCGTGAAAGCCGTTTCCCTGCAGAGGGTTCTTCAGGCCGTCGCGCTGATTTCAGCGGCAGAACAGAGGCGTTAACGCAGAGGCACGAGGATCGTTGTCATCCGCTGTATAGGCTTCATCGGTCACCTGTGAACGCCCAAATCCAGGGGAAGACAGTTGCTGTGAGTGTTAGCAGACTCACAAACAGGGACATTCATGAGTTTCTAATACTGATTAAATCTGCAGAAATGTGCAAATGGATTCAGACAAGTTAATTATTTGCAAATGACAGATGTAAGAGGATTGTTTTGGTGTCCAAGAGTAAATTCTGCTTCTGAACAAAAAATCATTTTCAGAAATATTTCTGTGTTTTGGATATTCAGGAAATGAGGGTTTGTGGATATAAAATATTGCAAAAAAAATTGGTCCAACCAGTCCAAACACCACACTTGAGTGCCAATAATGAGCCACAAAGAGGTGGAAGTGGGTTCATTCTCTTCCTTAGGGAGAGGAGTCAGTGCTGACGTCTCTGCTAAAAGGCGTCTCTGGGCTCCGCTCGCTGCCCATGATGAACTTTGTGACGGATAGATGCTTCGGCTGGAAAACGAGCATCAGAGGAGCCGGTTTGCGTGTGATGAGGCTGATCTCCGCTCCCTTTCGTCCTCCCTGACTGCTACTCACTGTCAGCACGACCCTGTAAACTCTGACGAGCAAAGTGTGAGTCACAGCACACAGGCTTTTATGAATTAATCCGTGCAGGGATACTTGTTATTAGCTGGTTTGCCTTGGGGATGACATCCTTTGTTTGACTATCGGAGTAAGATAAGACAGAACACATTTAGAAAAGTTGAAAATCTTTTAAAATTTTATGTGCACAGTTGTACATCCAAATACGTCCAAGAATTGAATCACTGTAAAAAATACTTTTGCTGTCTTAAATTACACAATTTACAATCACGGTGTAACTGGGACCTTTTCTTAATTCCAACATTACAATTATTCCGCCTGTAGTGTTTCAGTCTGGGTGGAAAGTCACACAGCAACGCTCCGCTCCGTGGTGAAGTTGTAGTGAAACTGCAGGAGAAGGATTAAGAGCAGAACCAATTTATTATCCAACTGCACCGCCTTAATGATTAATGAAAACAATTATCAAAAACTGGAAACTGAGAAAGCAACAAACATTTCTGCAGCTCTATTAAATGTATTAACTGATATTAAGTTGAGCTATCAACACAACATTTGTGATTGAAATCGGATTCCCCTTCTTCAAGACTAGAGGCCTAATATTACACCTACAGTAACATGCTAACACACGCGCCATTGATACCTTTACTTACAGTAAAATACAACCAAACACTGCCCCCTGCTGGCATAGCATGGACATGAAACGACAACCACATTCTTTTTTGCTGTTACATTGATTCTGTAAATCATGAATGTATCTGCATTATATATATATATATATATATATATATATATATATATATATATATATATATATATATATATATATATATATATATATATATACACACATTACTTATTTTGTCAAAATATGAGAAATGGAGGTAACACCATTGTAGGGTGAAAGGAAACATAGATCCACCTCACATAACAATCATTTGTGAGTTTCCCTTCAAGAGGATGTAACAGTGAGCCCTGGTACTGGATCAGTATTTGGTATACAGATGTTAAAGAGGATGGAATAGTGAGCCCTGGTACTGGATCAGTATTTGGTATACAGATGTTAAAGAGGATGTAACAGTGAGCCCTGGTACTGGATCAGTATTTGGTATACAGATGTTAAAGAGGATGTAACAGTGAGCCCCGGTACTGGATCGGTATTTGGTATACAGATATTAAAGAGGATGGAATAGTGAGCCCTGGTACTGGATCAGTATTTGGTATACAGATGTTAAAGAGGATGTAACAGTGAGCCCTGGTACTGGATCAGTATTTGGTATACAGATGTTAAAGAGGATGTAACAGTGAGCCCTGGTACTGGATTAGTATTTGGTATACAGATGTTAAAGAGGATGGATTAGTGAGCCCTCGTACTGGATCGGTATCTGGTATACAGATGTTAAAGAGGATAGAATAGTGAGCCCTCGTACTGGATCAGTATTTGGTATACAGATGTTAAAGAGGATGGAATAGTGAGCCCTGGTACTGGATCAGTATTTGGTATACAGATGTTAAGGAGGATGGAATAGTGAGCCCTGGTACTGGATCAGTATTTGGTATACAGATGTTAAGGAGGATGGAATAGTGAGCCCTGGTACTGGATCGGTATCTGGTATACAGATGTTAAAGAGGATGGAATAGTGAGCCCTGGTACTGGATCGGTATCTGGTATACAGATGTTAAAGAGGATGGAATAGTGAGCCCTGCTACTGGATCGGTATCTGGTATACAGATGTTAAAGAGGATGGAATAGTGAGCCATGGTACTGGATCAGTATTTGGTATACAGATGTTAAAGAGGATGGAATAGTGAGCCATGGTACTGGATCAGTATTTGGTATACAGATGTTAAAGAGGATGGAATAGTGAGCCCTGGTACTGAATCGGTATTTGGTATACAGATGTGCTGAGGGACAGAATTGCTAATGGAAGTGAAGAAGTTTGATCTGCATTCCCCAGAAACCTTTGTAGCTTCCAGAAGTACTCAGACATTTTACAAAATCTATCATCTAAATCCATTTTTTGAATACATGATGATGATGATACGAAAGACAAAGTTCCAAAGTAAAGTGAATTATCCACAATGTCAATGTGAAAACACACACTGAACAATAACCTTTGATTAGGTGAAAGCCGAGCTATAACAATATAATGATTTTGTGTATTGGGAGACAAGGTGGTGCTCAAATCAACAAGTTGGGCCGTTGCATTACTGCAGAACAGCACTAGGTGACGCTGTATGATCACTGAAATAAGTTTCCAAATCTCAAACAGAAGCCACGGCGCCACAGAGGCTCAGACCGAGTTCCTGATCAAAACGCCACCTTCCCAGATTCTCATCTACTCGAGGGGAAGCTGCAAGTTACCCAGAACCTGTCACATATCACAAGCATGTTAGTTGGGAAGAAATTCAGCCCCCCACCACACAAAAATTCACTCTAAACATCTGGCCCGGTGAATAAATAAGGTGTGTGTGTGTGTGTGGGGATGATGGATGGGGGAATGGGGTGTTATCAGGGAGAGCATGTATCAATGTCTGCCAGTTTTATACACACGCTGACAGGGCAGTGACACACCAGAACATGGGCGGCAGTCACCCAGACGAGCAGGGCTTCATTTCCTGCCCCTGCTCCGCTGCCAAAAATATGTGACATGTTGTCTTCATTAATTCCACCTCTATTTGGAGCTCTCCCTCTCACACCCCTCACGTACCCCCCCCCTGTACACTACTGCCCCTCGGTACATCCACACGGCAACGCACACCAGCAAACGCGCAGGCACAGGAATACACACGCAGCCTGGTAACTGCCGACAAACACCGAGAGCCCATCATACACAGGTGCTAATGAAAACCCTGTCGCGTGTGCGTTTCCACACTAGCGTCCTCCCTCTGAAAATCATTAGCCAGCCGCCAACAACATTTTTCAGGGGAGCAAACTACATAAAGATGTCACTTTAAATCGCGTACTAATTAACACTTAAAAAGACACAAATTAGATATGCGTGGCTAAAAGCAATTATAATATCCGCAAGTTTTGTGAGTCATTTGGGAAATGGGAAGAATGCCTAATTGCTGGAACCAACATCATCCGAGACACGGCTTAAGTGATGCCTGTTAGGAAATGCTCTTATCTGCAACTGTGGCTGCGATTACAACAGCTTTCCTCAATTACATGTGCATATGTACAATTCCTGCTATTACATCTCTTTCATAAATCTATCTTTTTTTAATGGGTTTAGAAAGAGGCAATTAGGTTTCTGTGTTCGCCTCCAGTTTAAATAAAAAGAGTCGAGCACAGACACAGTGACCTCTTCTGGACAACAGAAGAAGGAGCCGCTCGAAAAGATGGCACCGTTTCTTTCTGGGGATCCATATATTGTTTTGTTTTTTTAATCTTTTCATATTACTTAGAATGAGCTGCTACGTCTGCAGGGGCCTTGAGTCCAGAAAACATTGTGGTTATTCAATTTAGGGGCCAACAGAGGAAAAACAGACAAAGAAAAAGGAGAAAATACCAAGATTCAGACAGGCATCACTTTCCAAAAAAAACACCTCTCCTGTCCAACATGTTTGCGAGAATATCGCTGACTATATGTCCCTCCTTGTTCTGCTGATATTGTGTGCTATAATAATAACAGGGGAGAATTCAAAATAACACAATGGTGAGGGATGTTTCCACTTGGAAACTAATTATCAAGCTAAGCTGTGACTTCATCCTCATCAGCCCGGCCCCGCCATTAATCTTGTGCTGTCGTCCACTTCACTAAATCCTGTGTGTTACACTATCTCACATTTACTTCATCAGCTCCAGCGCGGCTGTAATTAATGATTTCTCATGTCCTCTCCCTTCCCTTCCCCAGCTCAGCTCACCATGTGTCCTTCTGCTAATCACACTCTCTCCGAGAGAGGAAGGAGAGGAGGGAGAGACAAAAAAGACAAGACCGTATAGGATGAGCAGCCAGCCTGTCTCCACCCTGGAAAACACACACACACACGCACACAAACACACGCGCCATTAATACCTTCGCTGACAATGAGCTTCATTCAGATGACCATGTGACAAGATGGCGACTCCGTGTGATTTGGATAGTATGTGACAGAAGACAGAGGCAGAGTGCAGAACAGACACCCGGTTTGATGAGGGAGTGTTTGCTCTGTAACACATCTCAAACCCAACAGCACCTGTTCTTTTACAGTGGTCTGTCACTTCCTGGCAGTTCTGATACCAAGATACCGTGCTAATGAGAGAGAAGGGGGGTTGTCACTCTCTTTAAAGCGCACGCACGCACACACACACAGACGCACACACACAAGCCAACTCTTTCGCACCAACACATGGGCTGCACACAGATGATTATCCTCCTACGAATGCCTGCAGGCTACAGCGTTTCATCAGAAACGGGGAGGACTTTGTAGCGCTTTTATTTGCTCTGCATGATCTCAAACTTCATTTTGGCAACTGGACATGAGGTTGATTTGGGAGACTCGAAAAGTTAGACGTGAAGAATCTGACCGGAAAAAAAAAGGTCCCGGGGATCTGCAGCACTGTGCTCGATTGAGCTGTTTGAGAGAAGAATTGGAGAAGTCAAGTGTTTTGGAACAGAAGACGGCGCTTTCAAGAGAGAATGGCTGCCTTGCCTGGCCATGCTTTTATTCAATCGGGGCTTAGTGGAGCCAACAGGGCCTCGCTGTCTCAGACACTTAATTACAACCCCAAGACCGTTTGCTTTGCATTCTGGGCCAGCGGCGTCAGCGGCAGCCGAGCGTTGCAGCCTCTACTCACTTCCTCCTCGATCTCTGCCAGGGATTTGATCGTAATGCCCATTAAATTGACTCGCTGCATCTGAAATCAAAAGCAGGGAGAGGAGGAGGGAGAGGAGGACGAAGGAGAAGAAGAAGAAGAAGAAAAAAAAAGCACACAAGAAACATGGCGGTTAGGCTCATGGCTAAGTAAGCATGCTTAAAATCTTTAATCCTCTCCCTCTCAGTGTCAATACAAACGGGGCTATAGTGACAACCGCTGCCAGCTCGCCAAATGGACTGCATTGAGCCGGCCCTGCCTGACTGCACGCATTCATCACTCAGTCTGGAGGAAAGGCAAGGAATGAAAAGGAGGGCACAGGAAAGGAAAGGAGAGCAAGGAGGAAGGGCTAATGGCCGCGTATTGTGAGGGAGGACCAAATACTAACACGACTACGCAACGTGTTACAGGAAAAGTAACTTTCACAATCACTCACGCCATTTGTCACCAAGCAACCATTTTGCGTTTGGTCCCTCATTTCTCAAAGGCGTTTTTACCTCTTTGGGGTTTTCATGAAACTTCTCGGCGATCGCAAAGGGCACATCGTCCAGAGCTGTGAAGGAGGTAAGAAAAAACAGTTAAACAAGTTTAAGGTGGACAAATAAACACACAAACCTATATTAAACCCCCCGTTCTTGAGACTAAGCGTGGGTTTATAGAACAACAAAGCTATCAAGCTCCCCTCCCTCCGTCTATGCAGAGAGGATGAAAGGCTCCGTCTATTGGAGCACCTCCACCCTCTCCTGCAGCCCAGCCCTTTCTCAACCCTCTCCCACTTTAATTACTCTTGATTATTCCCGATTCCGTCTTGTCGGGGAGATGTTCACCTCGGAAACAAAGACGGCGCTCACACTAGGCACAGAAAAGGGAAACAAAACATTCGCCAGATATCAAATTTGCATGAAAATAAGCGACACTGTTGAGCGGGCGAAAAAGTGGATTGAAATGAGGACTTGCCAAGAGCGTGGTGGTATAATTAGCATTTGACCAAACAAACGAGCTTCAACAGAGCTATAATTAAGCAGGCCTGTAATTAAGTGTATGCCCTTTATCATAATGATCGTGGTTAAAATGGTGCGATGGCTGCCAGTTGATTATTAATGGTGTAACCCCGTGCAGCATGCATCCTGCACTGGAATCAAGGTGTCACGACTGTCAGGCTAGAGAGCAGCTCTTTGTTTATAAAATACATTAGGGCCCAAATTAACACAGGGTGACAGGGGACACAAAGCCTCTCGTTTCCAGACTGAAGGGGGGAAAGCGCAGCTGCTCGGCTTCATTATAAAACTCCCAAATCTGGAGACACAAAACTTGCTGCCTGTTGGCTTCGACAGGAGCCCCCGAAGTATCAAGAGGCCGAGCTTCCTTTTACCCACAGTCCATCGGGCCGCTGGCACAGGAAGAGGAACTCATAAATGTGAGTCGGGGCTGTTCATGAGTCATCGTTTTGGAGCCTTTCCTGTTCACAGCAATATTACAAAGTATGAACACTTCGACACTTATGTGACCAGCTTTCCTTTCTTGGTTATTGCACAAGTCCACGGTTTGGCACTTTGCACACATGTGAAGTAGAATGTGATCTTTGTAATCACAGCATGACCTTCACACTTCTGACCACGGGGAAGCCTATTTACTTTCCTGGCTTTCATATCCCACAGTTAAAATGTGGTAATAAGAGAGTCCACGGCCGTGCGAGCCGCTCCGTGGGGCTGCACGCCGGCGCCGCAGTGCTTCCTTTGAGCTAAATAGTACTGACAACAACAACAAGGGCAATGCTAAAAGTAAAGATGAAACCTGCTTATCGTTAGCCCAAGTTTACCATGTCGCTGCGACAAATAAAAAGCACCACAAATTAAAAAGAACAATGTTGCTCGTATTTAGTCATTAAGCAAAATATTTAAAACAATTGTAATATGGTCATACAATTTTGACCTGATGATGGCGCTGAGTTATTACCATTCATCCAGAAGGGGGCATTAATGTCTGCAACACATTCAATTGGATTCCACTGATTAGGTGCTGTAATATTTCACTTAAAGATACAAATACAAACCTCATATTATCATTATCATGGTGGCTCTTTGGGGTAAAGTCACCAAAACCATTAGGATTGTCCGTACAAATTGATATGACAATCCAACCGCTGTTGGGATATTTACATCAGGGTCAAAGAGGTGGACCAATCTGCCATCCTCGTAGCTTTGCCACTAGCATGGCTGGTGAAAGGATGATCCCCCCTTTCCCACTCACCCAGGGGCTCTTCCATTCCCCAGCCTTTACACCCACCCTGCAGGGCCTGTGGATATGTGGCCATTTGAAGCAACAAATAAAACCAAGGCGATTGGGTAAGTGCAATGACTTGTTCAAGCTCATAAAAACAAGTGAACAAACATGCTCTCGTGTGTCGCTGGGAGCACCGGCGCCCGGCAGAGGCAGGCAGGGAGAATGCATTTGAATCAATAGCCAGCAACGGAAAGCCGAGATTGTAGCGGCTGATGGATCTGCGTGGTGCAGACGGATGAATGCAGAGCTGAAGGCCACAGAGTTCTTTTTTTTTTTTTTTATTGCTCAAGGATTACATTTAAAACCAGATCTCACTTTGTATTCCACCGCCATCTATACCAGAGAGGCCATCTTCCACCCAGATAAATGGAGACGCGTGCGAGATGACTTGCGTGCTACGGAATGGATACCATGGAGAAACCCGAAGGTGCAAAGGGCAAAAAGAATGTAAATCCAATCTCCTGACCAGGAATCCCACTACGAAGCATGTTGTAGCTGCTGGAACGGCCAGGCTCCAGTCCATTAACTCATGATTATATCGCAGTGTGGGGAACCGGGTAGTTATTTGGCTTTTGGACTATGTGAGTGCAGTCAATATGAAAACATCTGGCAGGAATTTTGGTACAATGGCGATCATGATGATGATGATGATGATGATGATGGCGGCGGCGGTGAGCGCGGAGGTGGCGTTAAGTAAGGAGGACCCTGTGGCTTGAGTGATTGCAGTGTAAAGAACGGAGTCAGCACGGGCCCCGTGTGGATCATCGCCTTATTAATGACTCCGTCAGGTGCGATGAGCAATGGCTGCATTGTCATCTGCAGCCCCTGGGCACAGATGAATGGCTGTTTCAGGGCGGGAAGGGCTCCCTCGTACGCTGGGCTGAGCACTAATCCCTCACTCTTCCATTGTTGGATGCACTGTCACCCAGGACTTCAGCGGCGCCATACATTGCACCTCCATGGCTCGAACAGACATGGCCGAGCGCACCGGCGATCACACACACACATACTTCTACACACACAAACCACACCAGAGTTGCGCTGAGACACTGACTGATGTAAAAATATGCGTGGGTGATGGAGCATACCCCGTATTAACTGAACCACAACTCAAGAGTAACACTTTAGGAATGTTGATGAACTTTTATTTTACGCTTCACTAATTCGGCAGAATTGCATTGATCTCCGTCTGGCACGATTACCTGAATCTGTCTCGCCTCACCTGCATTAAGTGGGAAGGTCACAGTCGGGGGAATAATATCTGCGAGCGCAAAGGATAGAACTGCTCCATTTATATTGTTTGGTACCATAAAAATAACAGACATAATAAGTACAGCCGCTCGAAATAACACGTCGGCGCTTCATCCAGATTCTGCTGTAACATCCAAAACAATTGCATGTTTTTCTCTCTTTTCTCTTTGTGCAGCCAGACTAGACATCGCAGTGCCTTCCCTGTCGGTGTGACTCTCAATTGGAGGCGGATTCCTTATGCAGACCATGGAAATGCTATTCTAGACCCCGGCTCTCTGTCACCTCTGCAGATAATGGTGAGTAGAGAGCTGTAGGAGGACCCCCTATGCCCACTCACAGCCCTTAGCCCCTCTCTTGACATGAGAAATAGTGCCCAGGCCTGACAGCATCTCGGAGACATATTGTAGTTTATTTTGTCGCCCGGGCATGCCATCTGTGCCATTCCAATAGAGGGTGTGTGTTCAGGCTGCTGCTGCTGCTGCAAGAGGGCGCGAGGCTCCGGGTCCCTCGTAGCTCTGCAGCCACGGCAGGTCATTAGTCAAATTGCCTAATGAGAGAGAATACAAATGGCCCCCCTACTCTGACAGGGGGAATTTTGGAGGTGTCAGAGCTCCTGACCCGTGCTATGAGAACAGATGATAGCGAGTTGCTATTTTCAGATTCTTTTAATGACTATGGATCTATGAAACCCATTCTTTTTCTTTTATCTTTTTCGAGCCCTCTAGACAGACGAGTGAAGGAAAATTTCAATGTGTTGGAAAACTGGGATTGCAATGCTTAAAATCATTGAAATGTTTACTATGGAGTAATATAATATTGTACAATGTATACAAAATAGATAGCTAAAAAGAAACTACTGAAATTATGTTGAGTTTCTTTTGTTTCTGCCAGCTGTGTGCAGCGTGTCTCCCCGCTCTGTGCCGTGTGCACGCTTCTCTTGCAATTCAGTCAGTTAGCTTTTACTAAAATATTCATTCCATCTCGTCCAAATACGGACAAATCCAAAATGTCTTTAATGCTAGGAGCATTGTGCTAAGATATCCAGTGGAACAATGAAGCTGGGGCTGCTTCAGGTTTAAAGAGAGAAACTATGGAGGGAAAACAGAAGAGACCATTTTACACAAGCTTTCCGTTAATTTACCATTATGACTTAAAAATAAAACAGTGGTATGTAATTGTACAAAATGTCAACTTATTCTGAAAGGTTTAAGAAATGCCCCAACAAGTGAAAAACAATTCATGTAGATGTAGTTTTACTTACATGACGAATGCAAAAATGAGATTAAAAATACTATCTATATATCTATGGTCGCATTTCTCAGTCAAATTCAGCTAATTTCTTTTTCCCTACCAGAGGGATGCAACACGGCCAGCTTATGTAGAATGGCCCACTTACTTTTCCATCTGTGACAAGCGGTCCTTGAGATCTGGTTGTGGGTTAGGCAGCCAGCAGGCCGCCCCCGGTCGGGCGCCGCTCCATCACTCTTCCAGAAAGTGGGCAGAGCCAGCAACACCTATGGTGAGTTGGCCAGCGACGCCGCTGCATAACGCAGAGTGCTATAAGGAGGTGTGTGCATCTGTGACAATGTGGTCACTGTACATGTAAAGGCAAAGTGCTAAAAGCCTTAAGTGGCCTGGTGTAATTACAAAACCCGCATTAAGCGTTTCTGAAAGCGGTCCGCCGCGGTCCGGTGGAGCAGTGGGAGAGCCGATCTCGCTGGCTGGCTATTGAAAGCTCGCATGAAATTAAATGGACAATCAGACTTTAATCGGCAGCACGGTGTCTTTTAAGACATTGCCATGGCACTGGAAGTGATCCCCAGCTGTGGCGCCTGGTAGCTGTGCAGCAGAATGTGTGCATAAACGGGCTACGCCTCTCTGGACAAGTGTAAAAGCTGGCAGAGGGCTGACGGTAAATTGCAAGTGCCGGATGGGACACAGCAGAAGGCACAATTACACAAATCCCCTCTTAATTAGCGGTTCTGTGGGCAAACTAACCCGTAATGATGCGAGGGATGT